TACAAATTATATGTTACTCCCCTTTTGAAGCCCTCTGACATGATAAGTTTGAATGCAACACAGATGAATTTATACAAAAGTTGCAGTTCTTTAAATGTGCGTCAAATTTAAAAGCGTGAGACTAAAATTTGTTATATGTGACGAAATCTATTCCTATATGAAAATACTAAAGTTTTCATATACATAGTTCCTTGCATCGGCGTTGATTTATAATTTAAATTTTCATTGCAAACCTACTTTGGTATGAATCTCCAATAACACGACCACTAGACAAAAATAATTATTTACCCGCTAACAACTTGTATTCGAAATCGTTTCTTGTATTAAAAAATCGCTAAAATAACAACATTTGACAGATTTGTTGACAACCATATGACTTCCTACCCTGCGTTTTTTACGGCTGTTACCATATTTTCTTAAGGGACGAAAACCGCCGTCGAAATTAGGAAAAACTAGAAGCTAACACAGGAAAATAGGTAAGAAAAGATCACAAAACACCCGCAGATAAATTTGGAAGTAAAAATCCTCAAGAAATTAACAAATTTTTTACTTTCAGCTAACATGGCCTCTAGAGAGGAATTTGAAGAAACAATGCCAATAAATGGTGTGGTGGCCATGTATACTTGCAAAAGATTGTAACAAGGTGGGTGGCAAATTGCTTAAACTATTCCTCAAAAACCTTAACTACTGAATTTTTAACTTTTACTTGCTACAGATATTCCCCTGTAAACGTGACCAACTTTTGCACAAAAAAGAAGTGCATTCCCAAACAAAATCCTCTTACGAATGTAAAATCTGTTCCAAATATTTCTGCAATAGCGGCAACTTAGAGCGTCATATGAAGGTTCACAATGATGTGCGTCCCTTTGTCTGTCGCATTTGTGGCAAGGCTTTCGCCCAGTCTGTCAACCTAAATCGTCATTATTCTGTACACAATGGTGAACGCCCGTATCCGTGTACTTTTTGTAATAAGACCTTTACCCAACAGTCGAATATGCAACGCCATCAGCTAACACATACGGGAGAGAAACCGTTTCGTTGTAAACGTTGTGGCCGTTATTTCTCTCAGCGTGTTAACCTTAAAAAGCATATTATGGGACATTTGAATACCAAACCATACACGTGCAAAATATGCCAAAAGTCATTTATACAATTGGGCAATTTTAAGAAACATTTACAGTCACATCTTAAGGATGGCTTAGAGATTGATATGAAGGCGTTGGTGGCCGAGGCACAGGCAATGGCCAAGCAAAGTTTGGAAATGGCCGATGAGCAACCAGTGTAAGTAAAATATTTTTAAAGGATGGGGAATTCTTAGTGATTTAGGTCTATGACTAGTCGAGGCATGGGAAAATTTATTAACTCAAACAATTTGTTTGCAAATTTGTAAAATTTTCATCTATGAGGGATTCTTTGACAGATTATTACCAGGACGAGTTTATTCGTTTAATGTTTATTATGATACTAAACGACGGGATATGATATTTTGGTTTTGGCATGGAAGTAGTTCTTTGTTTGAAATCCAATAAGAATTCAACATTTATCGATAGATAGATAGATAGATAGATAGATAGATAGATAGATAGATAGATAGATAGATAGATAGATAGATAGATAGATAGATAGATAGATAGATAGATATGTAGATAGATAGATAGATAGATAGATAGATAGATAGATAGATAGATAGATAGATAGATAGATAGATAGATAGATAGATAGATAGATAGATAGATAGATAGATAGATAGATAGATAGATAGATAGAGAGAGAGATTTAGAGATAGATAGATAGATAGATAGATAGATAGATAGATAGATAGATAGATAGATAGATAGATAGATAGATAGATAGATAGATAGATAGATAGATAGATAGATAGATAGATAGATAGATATATAGATATATAGATAGATAGATAGATAGATAGATAGATAGATAGATAGATAGATAGATAGATAGATAGATAGATAGATAGATAGATAGATAGATACATAGATAGATAGATAGATAGATAGATAGATAGATAGATAGATAGATAGATAGATAGATAGATAGATAGATAGATAGATAGATAGATAGATAGATAGATAGATAGATAGATAGATATATAGGTAGATAAATAGATAGATAGATAGATAGATAGATAGATAGATAGATAGATGGATAGATAGATAGATAGATAGATAGATAGATAGATAGATAGATAGATAGATAGATAGATAGATAGATAGATAGATAGATAGATAGATAGATAGATAGATAGATAGATAGATAGATAGATAGATAGATAGATAGATAGATAGATAGATGGATAGATAGATAGATAGATAGATAGATAGATAGATAGATAGATAGATAGATAGATAGATAGATAGATAGATAGATAGATAGATAGATAGATAGATATATAGATAGATAGATAGATAGATAGATAGATAGATAGATAGATAGATAGATAGATAGATAGATAGATAGATAGATAGATAGATAGATAGATAGATAGATAGATAGATAGATAGATAGATAGATAGATAGGATAGATAGATAGATAGATAGATAGATATATAGATAGATAGATAGATAGATAGATAGATAGATAGATAGATAGATAGATAGATAGATAGATAGATAGATTGATAGATATATAGATAAAGGATAAATAGAGATCTGTAAACTATTATCTACTCTGTAATATTTACTTTCTAAACAAAACTCTACTCTTTTTTCCCTATTTTTTAACAGTGGCTTCGAGTGTGCTGTGTGCCGTTCGATTTTCAATAATTTTACCGATTTCGAAATGCATGAAAGTGAGTGCAACGAAAATGCACAAGCAGCCATGGAACAGAAATACAATCCCGATGAACAACTACACGAAGTTGTTGTCGAAGAGGTGGAGGATCATGTTGAAGAACAGATAATAACGCCTGATGGTGTTGTAACTGGCAGTCACTTTGGCACTTATGCACCTTTGAAATTCAGTGTCTCACAATTGGATACACATGAAATAATTATTGAAACCAGTCGATAAAATGTTTTTTTTTTTTGTGAAATTGAAATGATATAAAAAACTGAATGAAGTCTTTATAACAAAAAAAAAATAGCAAAGCATAACAGCAAAAAGTTATATAGTTTTCAATTTGAATTCACGTTATTCAAATAAATACAAACATACAAAAATATAAACTTAAATATATACATAACATATATATATCTACAAATATAAATACTATAAATGCATTAGACGTGTGTGTGGATTTGTAAAGGTTTGGGAGCCAAGCCAAAGGTATGACGTCAATTGTAAACAGTAAAAAAAAAGAAAATCAACAAACAGCAAATTGTCGTCGCGGTAATCTATGTAACTTTTTTTCTTTTTCTTGTTTAGTTCAAACTAATTTTAAAATTATAAAATAATTAAAAAATAATAATTATAAATATGAATAAAAATAATATTAATAGCAATTATGTTCATTACATAAGTACATTTAAGTCAAAATATTCAAAACAACAAAGAATAAAGAAATAATATGAAAGAATAGGAATGGTTTTATTTAAATAGTGTTGTCTAAAGTGAAAATCTGAACGGTCAATGGATGATTTACATTTGTGGGTGTTACAGAAAATTGGGAGCTTTTACTTACAGTAGGAAGTTGAAAACTAGTCTTGCCTTAATGTTTAATAAAAAATCCTTTTGTTTAAGTAATAAATTTTTTATTTAGTGTCGTTTTTTATTATTTTTTTAATTTTTAATATTATTAAGTTTATAATATACTGGTTTTAGATTAAAAATCTTATATTGCAAAAGAAATCATAATAATACAAATTTATTAAATATGTTTTTTATATTTAACTACATAATTTAGTTTTTTTTATAATTTTTTTGTTATTTTTTTGAAATTTTTTCCATTTTTTCTTTTAGCAGGATTGGCAAATACTTAATTAAAATTCTTGTTTTTTGTTTAAATTAAATTGTTTTTTGTTTTACTAAATACTCTAATAAATATTAATGTTTTTATAATTATATAGTTAATATAATTGATTAAATTAACCCTCAACAGGGAAGAAGTCTTTGAGCAAAGTAGTGCGTCGTTTTTCAGCAATATCCATTTGATTTTCTAAATCACCTAAATCCGTTGTTTCAGCACGTTCAATCTTCCAGGAGAGATTTTCTATTTCAGCTTCTAGTTGAGCCTATGAGAAGAAAGAAACAGTTGAAGTATAAATAATAATAATTTTCCATAAATTTCCTACACCTTACCTGTTGATATTCAAATAGATCTTTGCGTGAACCACTGTCCATAAAATACGCATACGGATAAGTGTACTGCAAGGTATAACGACATTTGGCCAACAGCGAGGCGGCATTAAACAAATACTGCCAATCAATCCAAGTGCCACGTCCCTTCATAACCTTATCGTTAATGCGTGTACGCAGACGATCCAATGTCTGTTGCTCCAATTGCAACGACTTCGAGTGATTCTCCCAACGTTCATAGTAATGTAGATATTTCTTTAGAGCCTCTCTGGCCTGAACATGTACCGATTCATTGGCAATATTGGGATTATCTTTATAACGTGAACATTCATAATACTCCGAACCGTGAGTCTTCCAATCGCCCAAACACATCCAACAGAAATCGTATTTACAATTGAAACATTGCATATGATTACAGCCGCCATTCTTCTCAATGCAGATGTGACACTTGGGACAGTCTTTGGTATTGGCGCTTATATAGTTGGCCGTTTCGCTGTCGTCGGCGCATTTGGTCAACCATTTTCTAATAATTTGACAATCTGTGGGTGCATGATAGTCCATGCCGCATTTGAAACAAAAGCTAGTAGTGCAGGAAGTGCAAACAACACGTTTGGGTGCTATTTCACGTGAACGTACAATAATTTGACAATTAGGACCGGGACAAAAGCGTAACTCGGGATGTGATTTAACATAGTCTTTGAAAGCAAACTGTTGGTATTTTTCACGCATAACGGGGCGTGTTACTAAAGTCAAAACCAAATCCTCGGGCACACGAACATTGCACATTTGAGCCATACAACCAATTTGAGTGGAAATTCCCTGTTCATATAAATAAAACAAATTAGAAACATAAGAAGTTTATAAAAGAAAGTTTTACTTTACCTGAAATATTTGCGTATCAAAAAACATGGACCAACAGTCTTTACAAAATGAATGGGCACACGATAAACTATAGAATTTATCACCCAGCTGCACTGTGGCACAAACAGGACACATTTGACTACGATACTGTTGTGTTAAGCTGCCAATTACACCAACAATACCACCGCCTCCACTCCCACCACTACTACTACTTGGTGAGGGCGTGGCTGTTGGTGATTTACTATACGTACTTAAAGTACCAATCGTTGTTGTACCAGTTGCCGCTTGTGCTTGTGCACTTGTTGAGGCTACATTTTCTGTCTCTAATGCCGGATCGACATTATTACAGGGCGGTTTAATGCGCGTCTCTACGAGTAGAGCATTGGCATTTTGCCTATATTTATCGACCACCACCTGATTGATCCACTGATGTTCGAGCAGTAGAACTTTGGCAAGTGATGGCGTTATCTGGAGTATTGTATTGAGTTTTTCCACCGATTCGTTGAGCAATTTTTCAACTTCTTCCACTGTTAGGCATTCGTATTCGAAATATTCGGGATCGGTTTTTTTTCGGATCTAAACGTTCAACATCACAATCTTCACCTGAAAGGAATAAGAAATAAAATTTTTTTAATAAATTTTTTATTTAATAGAATATTTTCCATAGAATTTGTTTTTGTAAGAACATTTTTGATAAATTTTATTTTTTATAGAAATTTTTCGATAAATGTTCTTTATTTTAGAAAAATTTTCGATAAAGTACTTTTTTTTACAAGAAAATTATTGATAAATTTTCGATAAATTTTCTCTTCAATACAAAATATTCGATAAATTTGCTTTCTTTATAAAAATTTCGATTAATTTTCTTTTTTATAGAAAGTTTTCAAAAAATTTTCTCATTTATAGAAAATTTTTAAAAATTTTCTTTTTTTAGAAATTTTTCGAAACTTTTTTCTTTTTTATAGAAAATTATCAATAATTTTTTTTCTTTTTTATAGAAAATTATCGACAAATTTTGCTCTTTTAAAAGATATTTTTCCCTTTTATAGGAAATGTTCGATAAATTTCCCGTTTATAGGAAATTTTGGATAAATTTCCCTTTTATAGGAAATTTTCGATAAATTTCCTTTTATAGGAAATTTTCGATAAATTTCCTTTTATAGGAAATTTTGAATAAATTTCCTTTTATAGGAAATTTTGAATAAATTTCCTTTTTATAGGAAATTTTGAATAAATTTCCTTTTTATAGGAAATTTTGAATAAATTTCCTTTTTATAGGAAATTTTGAATAAATTTCCTTTTTATAGGAAATTTTAAATAAATTTATTTTTTATAGGAAATTTTAAATAAATTTCCTTTTTTATAGGAAATTTTAAACAAATTTCCTTTTTATAGGAAATTTTAAATAAATTTCCTTTTTATAGGAAATTTTAAATAAATTTCCTTTTTATAGGAAATTTTCAATAAATTTCCTTTTTATAGGAAATTTTAAATAAATTTATTTTTTATAGGAAATTTTAAATAAATTTCCTTTTTATAGGAAATTTTAAATAAATTTCCTTTTTATAGGAAATTTTAAATAAATTTCCTTTTTATAGGAAATTTTAAACAAATTTCCTTTTTATAGGAAATTTTAAATAAATTCCTTTTTATAGGAAATTTTCAATAAATTTCCTTTTTATAGGAAAATTTCAATAAATTTCCTTTTTATAGGAAAATTTCAATAAATTTCCTTTTTATAGGAAAATTTCAATAAATTTCCTTTTTATAGGAAAATTTCAATAAATTTCCTTTTTATAGGAAATTTTCAATAAATTTCCTTTTTATAATAACAATTTTTCGATAAATTTCTCTTTTATAGGAAATTTTCGATAAATTTCCCTTTTATAGGAAATTTTCGAATAATTTCGATAAATTTCAATTCTTTTCGAATAATTTCGATAAAATTTTAATTTTTTCTGGAAAATTTTCGATAAATTTTCTAAATTTTTTCCATTAATTCTCTTTATCATAAAAAATTTGCGATAAATTTCATCTTTATCGATAAATGTTTTTAGTCATTATAAAACTTTTGACATTTTAAATCTGAAACCGGTTTAATCCCTTTATTTGTTTTGGTTATTTACGCTATTTACGTGAATTCATTTCAATTTACATACATATATTCATAAAATAAATTTACGCTTGAGTTATTATTATTATTATTTTGTTTCTGTGTTATTATTTATTTCTGAAGGTTATATACTCTATATAAAGTGTGTATTGAATATAAGAGAAATATAGTCATTTAAGACCGAATACATAAAACCCTACATTTAGAAAACAACAAATGAAATTTATTTAGAAAGACGAAAACACAGACATTTCTAAGTTTATCTTTGAAAGTGATTCTCTTATAATTTAAAGTGTGCCTGACCAATATTTCTACCAACATCATTATAACCTTTCTACTATAATGATATAGGGTATCAATATCTGTAGCTGTAATATTACATGACATTTTTTCGAGGTACCGTGTAAACAAATAAAATACAGAGTATGTAATAACAAAAATCAACAAAGTATTTATTTTTAACAAAAAAAAAATATATAGAAAAATATCAATAAATACATAACGTTTACAGACAGACAACAACAATATGAGTGTTGAGCAACAACGTTGTAATAATCGTAAATCATATGCCAGCTAAAACCGACGTCATTATTATTGATTTAGTAATGATAATGAATCAAAATCGAATATAGATTAAACGACAGAGGAAAAATACTGCAAAGTGAAAAACAAGCAATAATTTAGGTAGACAAAACTGCACTTTAAAATAAAGTGAAATAAATAAACAAAAGTCCACAGCGATAGGTAAGTTTAACCCTTTGTGTAGCGCGTAGTTAAAATTGGGGAAAATTTTTTAAAAACATTAAAATGTACAAGACGTCTTGGTAGAGATGGAGAAGGTATTGGGTATTGAGTGTAAATAAATCACAAATAATTGTTAGTAAAAGAGAAATAAACATAAACAGCAACAGCAACAACTACGCAATAGTAAACGTCAAACAAATGTAACGTTATTAAACAAACAGTAAATAAACTTACACAATTACAGATATTGTATGTTTGAATGTTACAACAAATGTATTATGTAGGTATTCAGAGATGTGGGTAGAATTTCATGTGACCAACTAAAAAATGGCTACTAACACAACAATCTTTCATAACTAAAGAAAGAGAAAGGTAGATAGATAGATAGATGGATAGATAGATAGATAGATAGATAGATAGATAGATAGATAGATAGATAGATAGATAGATAGATAGATAGGTAGATAGATAGATAGATAGATAGATAGATAGATAGATAGATAGATAGATAGATAGATAGATAGATAGATAGATAGATAGATAGATAGATAGATAGATAGATAGATAGATAGATAGATAGATAGATAGATAGATAGATAGATAGATAGATAGATAGATAGATAGATAGATAGATAGATAGATAGATAGATAGATAGATAGATAGATAGATAGATAGATAGATAGATAGATAGATAGATAGATAGATAGATAGATAGATAGATAGATAGATAGATAGATAGATAGATAGATAGATAGATAGATAGATAGATAGATAGATAGATAGATAGATAGATAGATAGATAGATAGATAGATAGATAGATAGATAGATAGATAGATAGATAGATAGATGGATAGATAGATAGATAGATAGATAGATAGATAGATAGATAGATAGATAGATAGATAGATAGATAGATAGATAGATAGATAGATAGATAGATAGATAGATAGATAGATAGATAGATAGATAGATAGATAGATAGATAGATAGATAGATAGATAGATAGATAGATAGATAGATAGATAGATAGATAGATAGATAGATAGATAGATAGATAGATAGATAGATAGATAGATAGATAGATAGATAGATAGATAGATAGATAGATAGATAGATAGATAGATGGATATATATAGATAGATAGATAGATAGATAGATAGATAGATAGATAGATAGATAGATAGATAGATAGATAGATAGATAGATAGATATATAGATAGATAGATAGATAGATAGATAGATAGATAGATAGATAGATAGATAGATAGATAGATAGATAGATAAATCATAAACTTGTCCAAAACTATATATTCCATTACGTCCAACACAAAACGGAACCTACCATTTCCCATACTAATAAAATTCAATAACAAAGGAACCTATAAACGTGTTCATATTTTTTAATTTTATTTACACAAAAAAGTCCACAACTTAAGTTCATGGGGATTAAATAAAGAAAATTAAAAATCATGACCTAACCTGTGTGTGTTAATTTATTTAGAGTATTGAGTTTCATTAACCTTTAAATATTTAAAGAAAAAACTATAAAATGAACTTGTTACATTCACACTAAACAAAATAGTCTTAAAGAAAATAACAACAACAACTAGCACAAAAACCTAACAAACAAAAGGACGGATCCACAGATAGACAATACGATACTTGACAGACAGATATGAAGCCAGTAAGTAAAGGAATAATACTTTAATCGTTCCACACACACTCATATGTACATTAATAAAACTAAAAGTAGAAAGAAAAAAATATTTATGTTGTATGGTTTATTGACCTTTTACTTTTTTTTTATAGTAAAGTAACAGAATATAACAACAACTGCTACTATTACATATAGCAACATTAACGAAAAAAACATCAATATTGTGGTTGTTTACCTTTTTTCATTCTAAAGTCAGTGCAGTAGAGATGTCTGATTTCATAGTAAAAAATCTCACTAAAGATCATTTATCTACACTGCTACTATTACTTAACTAGTATGCTAAGGCATGTTTGCTTAAGTTCTATTCAAAAGGGATTATAAAATTAGTTGTAGGATTTTTATATTTTGTTTTTAGTTTGTATTATCAACTTAAAAGTTTTAATTTTTTATTATTCTTTAAAACAGAAGAAACATATTCGAGTCGTATTCTCTAAAATTTCCTTTGCAGTTTATTTTTTAAATAACAAAAATAAGTGTAGTACCTTTTATAAATCTTAAAAACAATACCAAGAAACCACCAACAGATGATAAGGTAGAAAACAAACAATATAATATACTACAAACATACTTCACCTGAACTTGAAAATACAACCACTTAAAGCACGTCTTTGGTAAATAGATTTCTATGTTTTTTTTTTATACTTTGTAAAATACTCGAATTGTGTGTACATACAATCTATGCATTTATGTTTGTGTATTTCCTCTACATTGTAAAGGTAAATATTTTTTGTAACTTTGTAAAAATGTTGACTTACATGTGACCAACTATTTTCAAATTATCCTATATAATTAATGGATAAAAATGCCTTAATTGGATTAAAATTTGCTGAGTTAGTTTTAGCTTAAAATGTCTAGTTTTTATGAAGATCCATCTATCTCTATTTGACTTATTTGAACATATGGATGATATTGATATGGAAATCCATAGATTTGAAACTTCTCAATTGTTCAATATGGGGCCATGAGAATGCTGATAAACAGTAACAACGCCTTGGGAGACAGACAATTATTTTCTTCTATTTTTTACTTACGATAATGCTCGAAAAAGTGGAAAATTGGAAGAGAATGCTCTTCCTCTGCGATTGCCAGATGCCCTCGGCGATATAGCGATCTATCGAGCTATCTAGCTATCTATCGAGCGAGCGAGAGAGCGAGCGAGCGAGCGAGGCGAGCGAGCGAGCGAGCGAGCGAGCGACCGAGCGAGCGAGCGAGCAGCGAGCGAGCGAGCGAGCGAGCGAGCGAGCGAGCGAGCAGCGAGCGAGCGAGCGAGCCAGCGAGCGAGCGAGCCAGCGAGCGAGCGAGCGAGCGGCGAGCGAGCGAGCGAGCGAGCGAGAGAGCGAGCGAGGAGCGAGCGAGCGAGCGAGCGAGCGAGCTAGGAGCGAGGAGCGAGCGAGCGAGCGAGCGAGCGAGCGAGCGAGCGAGCGAGCGAGCGAGCGAGCGAGCGAGCGAGCGAGCGAGCGAGCGAGCGAGCGAGCGAGGCGAGCGAGCGAGCGAGCGAGCGAGCGAGCGAGCTAGCGAGCGACCGAGCGAGCGAGAGAGCGAGCGAGCGAGCAGCGAGCGAGCGAGCGAGCGAGCGAGCGAGCGGAGCGAGCGAGCGAGCGAGCGAGCGAGCGAGGCGAGCGAGCGCAGCGAGCGCAGCGAGCGAGCGAGTCGAGCGAGCGAGCGAGGCGAGCGAGCGAGCGAGCGAGCGAGGGAGCGAGGGAGCGAGGGAGCGAGCGAGGAGGAGCGAGCGAGCGAGCGAGCGAGGAGAGGCGAGCGAGCGAGCGAGCGAGAGAGCGAGCGAGGCAAGCGAGCAGCGAGCGAGCAAGCGAGCAAGCTAGCGAGCAGCGAGCGAGCGAGCGAGCGAGCGAGCGAGCGAGCGAGCGAGCGAGCGAGCGAGCGAGCGAGCGAGCGAGCGAGCGAGCGAGCGAGCGAGCGAGCGAGCGAGCGAGCGAGCGAGCGAGCGAGCGAGCGAGCGAGCGAGCGAGCACGAGCGAGCGAGCACGCGAGCGAGCCACGCGAGCGAGCGAGCGAGCGAGCGAGCGAGCGAGCGAGCGAGAGAGCGAGCGAGCGAGCGAGCGAGCGAGCGAGCGAGCTAGCGAGCGAGGCTAGCGCGAGCGAGCTAGCGAGCGAGCGAGCGAGCGAGCGTAGCGAGGGAGCGAGCTAGCGAGCTAGGTATCTATCTATCTAGCTAGCTATCTATCTATCGATCTATCTATCTATCTATCTATCTATCTATCTAGCTATCTATCTATCTATCTATCTTTGAAATAGGGGTTTTCCAAAAACACATTTTTCTAAAATCTACATCTTTGTTTTCCCTTATATCAATTGCTTAAAATCCCTTTGAATCATCACATGTTTATTTTTAACAAAAATATTTGTCTAAATCCCTTAATTTATGATCACCTACTACTGACTTACCTGAATTGTAATAATCATCGTATTCGCAATCATTATCCGAATATTCCATATCCGAATCGGCTGACATGGTTTTTATTTATTTGTTATTGCTGCTTTTTTGTTGCTAAATTTTTTACAACAATAAACCAACTGCAGTTATGTTTTAAAAAGGTTTTGTTGTATTTTATTAAAATGAGAAAATGGCCAAACAATCAACCAATACTGAGAATGAACTTTAAAAAATATTATATATATTTTTTTAAATTTATTAAACAGGCACTAACACTGGCATAGATATAAATGCACTTCTGCTCTCATACACGCGTGTGTATATTTTGAAAAAATTCACGTAATTTGTTTTTGTTTTAGACTGGAATAAAATGACCCCTTGTGAAGTTTTGTTGTTGAAAATATAAAATGAAAAAACAACAACTACGTAGATGATGACGACGATGACGATGGTGTGTTAAAAATGTAGGGGAGCTTCAGCAGTAGCAACAACAACCTTTATCATCAGCTACTAAAATAACAACAACAATTGCACAGAATGCAGCACTCTGTCTACACCAGGGATGTAAAATTTGTTTAAAATAAAAGCTGCCAATATAAATGAACGTGTTACAGCTGATTTTTTTGTTATTCTTTTATTTATATTTTACAAAATTTTGTGTTGGTGGTTGTTTTTCATATTCAGCTTAAAAAACAAGTTTAAAGGGAAAACAGGATTTTGATTTTGTACTCTACTATTAACGACTAGTTGACGTCTCTGGTTGTGAGTACATATTACACTGGATCTTTTTTTTGCAGTGACGAAGGGGTGGTTGGTTGTACAATTTTTTTTTCTTTAGGCGGAGGCGTATCGATAACTTGTTTTTATTACAAATCCCAAGAGGGTTGTAAAAATTTTATATAATTATTGTTTTAATTCTGCATTTTAATAGAAATTTCACTTTGTTAAACAAAACTATTTTTTGTTTATAGTTTAACAACAATAAAAATGTCCAGTTAGAATTGTTGGGATTGTGTGTGTAACAAAAAACTGCTCCCCTTTCCCAGAGAGATGTCAGCGGGGGGTTTAATTTGCTGGCTCAATTATGTCTCTTTTGTCTTGTTTTTTTTTGCATCTAAGTTCTTGAGTGTACAACTTTTCTTTGTTTTAATATATTTCGTTGCTTTTATAAACACTATTTAACACTTTAAATTAACTTGAAAACTTTTCTTCATACTTAAAATTTGTTTAAGTTTATTTCTTTCTTTGTATATAAAATTAAAATATAATGTCTATGTAAAAAATGATTTTTCTTCCGAAGAAAGGCGTCGTAAATGTAATGAATATAGAGACCTGTGCCGACAAACATTAACTACGACGGCGTTTAAAAATAAAAATTTCTGCAGCAGTTTAAAATCGTTGTTTCTGGCTATAAAAGCAGCGCTGCCAGATGAAAATCATTAATTGCCCGATAGATTTTAAAATTATTGTCAAAAATTGTTCTTAACATTATGATACCTTGCACCAGTGAGTATGTTAAAAATGTGATTTATTATTAATAATAAAGCATTTAATTAGTTTTTTATCTTATCTCCGAAATTTTTTACAATTTGTTGACAAGAAAAGTGATTATCTAAAAAGGGGTTATTTGGGGCTGGAGTAAATGAGAGATTTACTTTTACATAGAAGTTTTTTCATGTATTATTGAATTATTGACCTTCAAGTCATTTTCTGAAGGGGACTTGTTATGAGGTCTAGGGTCAAATTATTTTATTATTATAATTATTATTTATCATTAAATTTTGCCGATTTTTGCAAAGATATTGTAATATTTAACGTAATTAAGAGCTCTAAAGCCCAATTCAGGACCTAATGGAATAATGGACCGCTTTCAGTCATTTACAATATTCATTAACAGCAAATTATCTTGGAAAATTATCCGCTAAAATACCGTTATTGAAATAAGCCTGATTACTGTTACCTTTATTTTATTCCGTTTTGGAACGTTTATCAAGCTTGTATTAATTAGAAATATATTTTAAAGCTAGAAAAATTAATCAAAATATGGTGAACATTTTGAAGCCGTCCTTAACTAAATAATTTTCAGCTACGCCGGCTTTTAAATTTCTTCTGCGACTGGGCTTAGTAAATAATGTTATTCAATGCGGAATGTTAACACACAAAAATGATGGTGTTTAGTTTGTTTAGCAAAAAAAGTGATGCCAAGTTTTACATTGTGTAATAAAGTCTGCTACTGGCCGGTAGAGTGAATTAAACGTTAATTTTAAATTTTGATGGTTTATTATCAGAATTTTGTATGGAAAAAGTTCCAAGAACCATTAATATCCTCAATATCTGTTACCAAGAACTATTTTTTGGTACTTTTTCGTTTTTTAACAGATATTTTTTAGTTTTAATATTGAATCTAGAAACATGAAATTAAGCATGTAGAGCACGGATTAAATGTGAAATTATTTAGAGGCGATTTTTTTGGTAATTCTTCAAAAGTACTTTGAAGGGGAGGATTTTTGAAACTATTTCGTCACTCAATTGGTGGTCTTTGGTTTTTCTGTACTTTTTGAATGTTTTCTAATATTGAACCTATGAACGCAAAATTAATTAAATATAACACTTATTTATTTGTTTTTATTAAAAATTAAATAATTAAAATTAAATTAAAATTATTTCATGGTCACATTATAATTGAAAGAAAAACCCGATTCCTTTGTATATAAACCATCACTATTGAATAAAAGCATTAAAGGTCCGGGATTGGTGCCTAGAAAAAGTACAAAATCTTAATCTGGAAATTCATTCTTATTATTTCAAAAGGATTAAGCTAATTAATATTTGTTTTATCAGTTTTGATATTTAAAATATTATTATGTTATTTCTTAAATCATCTACTTACTAACAACTTCAGTGCCCTGAATGCTGTCGCCACAGAAATAGGTGGCTCTTTTACCCGTAACTTTAATTTTCGCCTGAGGTATCATTAAATAATCCGAGCTAATGGCGTTATTTGTGGGATTCCTGTGACAATATTCATCAGTAGAATTTTCTTTTGACGCTGCACCCAAAAGGAAAAACTTGGGGTTCAAACTGGAAAAAATTTACTAAAAAATATTTAAAACTTTTCCAAGAAAACTCCAAATAAAACTTACACTAAACTCCTTGTATCCTCAGTACGGCGGAAGCATATAGCATAATTTAGATTACCAGGATAAATACCTTTACCCTGATCGAAATTGAAAGAGGTAACTGAACCTTCGGCATAGGGGAAGTATTGTAAACAACCGGGAGGAGACACAAAGAAACCATCTTTAATGGTGGAGCTACCCAAAGCAGGTTGTATTGGCTCAACACTACGTATAGCAGCTCCCACCGGACACTCCAGTTGTGTAACAAATATATTCCATTTAGGAGTGGGCAGATTGTGATAACCCACACGATTAGCCAAAGCCACCATTAGGTTTACACTAGTAACACCAGCCGTACGATTGAAGGGCAGGTAAATATGTTGTGACGTTTCAGTGCCACATAATTTCAAATTTCCAGCCTGGAAATAATCCTTATCACATTGAACATATTTTAAATCATTATCCGGTCCAGGCAGTGAAGGAGGCGCCAAGGTGTAGCCAAACTCAATGCGCAATTGACACACATTACTGCTGTAGGCATTGATCTTGTAGTTACACTCTCGAGGAGGATTTTTAGGATTGGTTAGTTGAATTCTTTTAGACGAACTACTACCACCACAACCGGGCTTACCCACCGAGGCGGAATAAGCAAAATGCGACAAAGTCACCAGTAAAAGTAGGGTTAGAATTGTATTCATTGCGATGCACTTAACTATTAAACTAAATTAAATATTTAGGAGGAATGGAGTTTTTATATGATTTCTAAATAGCTAATAGATATATTGGTTTTCTTATCTCTGGTATAATGATAGAGCATATTTTTTAATTTAGCAAAATATTTATTGCACAAAACCCTTTAGTTTTTTTTTTGGGGGAAATTTAAGATAAAACATTAATACATTAAGGGTATTCACAGACTATTAGACATGCTATTATACCGAATCTTTATTACCCTTCCAAAATGGCATCATCTTAATCTGATTATCCATACTGTTTGGCCAATTAAGTTCAATATCGTTGTTATCAAAAACAGCTGTCTAATAATGATTTATTTATCCATTAATTATTACTACTTATATCTGTTTTAAGTTATAAATTATTTCCCTTCTATAATTATTAATTACTTAGATATTTTATTTAGAAGCTTTTAATTTAATTTACAAACTTTTGCGTTGATACACTGATTTAAGCTTCCTCCTTTTTCTCTTTCTTTAATCTCTCACTAATTGTCTTGTTTAATCTGTTTACTACTTCCTTCCTTTCTTTTGTTTTCCTTTAGTTGCAATTTTAACTCGACGCGTTGCGTAGGTGACTTTGTAAAACAATCAAATAAATTATAATAAATTGTGAAAAAAAAGCTGCAAATGCTATTTATCGATTAAATTTTGTTTAAATAATAGTTTAATAATAAAAATCATATAAAATAGTTTATAGTTCTTTACTAATGAAAGTGTGATGGTGATTGCAAGAAAAAAGTTTGGCCAAAATGTTTTAGATGTTTTTTTTTTGTTATCCGTTTTGTGGTGTCATTCGTTGTTGCGTCTTAAAAAATAAATTGAAGTATAAAAGTAAAGCAGAGTGTTAATATTTTGTTTAAATAAAAGTGCAATAATGTCAATTGCTTAATTTCTATTAATTTTTGTTTAAATGTGCACAAATATATATGTACATACATACATATGTATGTATGTTTGTATAATGTGTAAGTTTGTTGTTATTTTTTGAGTGTTTCAATAAGTGTATTTCTACATGTGTTTAGCTACATGTTTCTATAAGTTTTTGTTTACATTAACAAAATAAAAACAACATCGTTTGTGTAAGCTGCTTTTTAACAAATTCATCGTAAACAAGTAAGTTCTCTAATTATTTAATAAAAATTTGTTTAGTATTTATCTTTCATACAAGTTGTTTGTTGTTGTTGTGGTGTTCTATAAAGCGACTTTCAAACTACTGACATTTTGTCGAAAAAAGTCGCTTTTGTAAATAAAAGTCGAACGAAAAACAAATTGTGTTAACAAATTATTGAAAACCTGACTTAAACATTGAGAAAGAAGTCAAAATGTGAACAAAGTTGACAAATGTCAAAAAGTCATCATCTTGACGTGATTAATTCATAATGTTTGACCAAATAATTGTTATCAAGTAAAAGTGTAGTAAGGTTATGTATAAAAAAATGCAATTAAGTTCAGTGTAGGGTTCTATAGTTGAAACGAAAAGTCGACTTTTCGACTTTTTGCATTTAGTTAAAAGTCGACTTTTCGACCTTTCGACTTTTTCCATTTTATGAAAAGTCGATTTTTCGACTTTTCGACCTTTTTCATTTATTTAAAAGTCGACTTTTAGACTTTTCGACTTTTAGTATTTTATAAATGGTCGACTTTTCGACCTTTCGACTTTTTCCGACTTTTCGACTTTTTCCAACTTTTTCCGACTTTTTTCGACTTTTCGACTTTTTCCGACTTTTTCCGACTTTTTTTCGACTTTTCGACTTTTTTCGACTTTTTTCGACTTTTCGACTTTTTCCGACTTTTTTCGACTTTTCGACTTTTTCCGACTTTTTCCGACTTTTCGATTTATTACGACTTTTTGACTATTTTCGACTTATTTCGACTTTTTTTTCGACTTTTTTCGACTATTTTTTTACTTTTTTCGAGTTTTTCCGACTATTTTAGAGTTTTTGACGTCTTTTCCACTTTTTTAAAATTTTCGACTATTTTCGACTTTTCGACTTTTTCCGACTTTTTCCGACTTTTCGACTTTTTTCGACTTTTCGACTTTTTTCGACTTTCTTCGACTTTTTTCGACTTATCGACTTTTTTCGACTTTCCGACTTTTCGACTTTTTTCGACTTTTATTTACAAAGTCGACTTTTCGACTTTTTTCATAGACGATAGTCGAGTTATCGACTTTTTTGGAACAAAATAGTCGACTTCGACTTTTTCCGACAAAAAGTCGATTGTTCGATTATTCGAAGTCGATTTATAGAACCCTAGTTCAGTGTCGTTGGCATCAAACACAACTGTTTAATAATGATTTATTTTTCCATTTAATATTACAACTTATATCAGTTTTAAGTTATAAATTATTTCGAGTTAAAATAGAAAAATGTTTCGCCAAAAACTTTTCAAAATAGACTTCTTTGTTTAAATCACTACGTTGACAGCACTGATTTAAGCTTCCTCCTTTTTCTATGTATTTCTTTAATATCTCTCTAATTGTTTTGTTTAAGCT